TGAATGACCTGAAATCTGTGTCTTTGTTTGAAATATAGATAGGGACACATGAAGAGCTGGCCTTGGGGTAAAGTGTAGTAAAGCTATGCTCTTCTCTTTATCTGAAGCCTTGCTTGCATTCTGACTATATCAACCAATTGTCAGTTCATCCAGAAGGTGACAAGTTGAGATACTAAGACCGTGTATACATTGTCATGTGCCATAATAACCTTAATGAACATTTGACACTAACTACATGAGAAGTGATTAGTATCTAACTTCTCTGGTCAAAGTGGTCTGGGTATATTTGACTATGAAATATACTATTGGTTTCCATATGCCACATCAGAACCAATCTGAGATCTTTTTGAATTGGACTTATCCCAGGATATGATGATTCAGAGATTTGGACTGAGGAGTAAGAATTGTATCTCCTCCTTCCTTTGAATTATTGGCCAGGGTGGCCCAAAAGACTCCCAGAATAGAGCATAGAACTGGGAAAATGAACAGCAGACCCCAATCTTATCTAAAGGAATATTGACAACTGATTGCTACTGGATGAGAAACAGCTGATCTCCCTAAAACAAGGATCTCTAGATAGGCTGACTAGATTCAGTGGATGGACAAGCATGGGGGAATGGCTGGGGCACTGACAACACAGTGGACAGTAACAGGGATGACAGAGTATATGGGTTCCAGTGGGGGGGGGCTATGGGAGGGTGCCATTTGGGAAGTGAGTATATAGATGAATAAGATTTCTTGGGATGTTCTGTATGATATACACACAAAAAAATCAACAAACAAAATGACATATTTGTAAAAAAAAAAAATTGTATCTCCTGGTGTTCCCCAGGATGCTCAGTGTCACTAGTACACCAGTGGCATCTACAAGGCCCAAGCCCCAGCACTCCACTGTCATCTTAAACTGGAGTCAGCTATTCAGTTATTCTGCAACAGGTCCCTCACTGTGATTCCATTGTAATTGACAACAAGAACAAGCTTCGTTGGAGGTAAAAACATCTATTCAACCACATATGTTTTCACCAAGTCATCACAATAAAAATAAATGTTCAGAAATATTACATAATACAAGAATGACATTCTAAACCATTTCCCATTCAAAATGGAATATTTACGTGGCAAAGCAGTCAGTGTGAGAGTGGCATTCTTAGTCATTTTGGTCCTTGGTTTCAACTCATCTGTACTTTCCATTAATTGGGCCACAGAGTCCAGACAGGGCAATCATCTGACCAAGGTGTCTGCCATCCCCAGCACCTATAGTGTTTCATTTGAGTTCTCCAACCACATACACATAAGCCCAGCTCTCTGCAAGCAAAAGATTATTTATACACATTTGGGAAGTAATTTAAGCTTAACAAATATTTGCCAGGTGTATTCAAACAATTATGAGAAAGAAGGATTTAATGATCTAGAATTATACAGAAAATTGCTCAGAATGTCATTTGAAAGGAAAGAAGACCTTCCAAAGTTATTATTATTTGTACATCTTAGCATATTGAACCAAATACAAGAAATAATTCAAAAATCTGTTGTTGAAACCACTTACAAAATGAAAAGCATTTCTTAACTCAAGGGACCCCTGCTGAAAATTATGCCATAGGAACAACGCATAGCCATTTTCAGTCTTTACTTTCTAAATTATGTGTACATATTAAAATAAGATTGTATTAAGGGGACTAAATTATCAGATGAGATTTCAGCTGTCAACTATATATCATCAATAACTGAGCTGTGATTTATCAGATAATATTTACTGAGGAGGTTTTCTCTTCATTTCAGGAGAGAGTGTAGGTGATTTTCAGCAAACTGTTGTGTACCTGGGCAAGTGTTTCCTCTGCCACTTTGCATTTAGTAATTTCCTTCCTATGTTTGTTTTCCAAAGATTCCAGATCAAAATTATTTTCCTTTGTGTTTACCTTTGATTCTGAGGAAGCTAAACTGTGGGGTCATAACTTCTTTAATAATTATCTACAAAAGGTTTGGAAAATCAATTTCTCTGTGTTTCTCATTTGTAAATTCAAGAAAGGCTAGAGAAGCTCAAAGGCTATGTTTCCAGCTGTTTCCATGGAATCCATGTATGGTTATTCCAGAGTCTTTAACAACTGAAATTAGAAGGTGTGTACTTCCATTTAGTGAACTCCCCACAAAATTTTGGGCACCTACAGTCATCAGTACCTGGTAGTCTAGTTACCAGGAGGCTGGGTGGTGGATGGGGGTCTTCCTTTGCACATCCTTGTAGTAGTCCATGGTCAAGCACCTGATATCAATGTCACAGACAGATGGTACAGGGGTCTTATTCCTCACTGCTAGGCACACAGTGCTACTAAACACACTGCATTTTATAATGGTTAAGGGTACTTAAGACATGACGCAGACTGGGGATATAGCTCATTGACAGAGTTCTTGCCTACCATGCTGGGCTTAATTGCTAGCACTATATACTCATACACAAACCCAACATTTCTGAGTGTGGAAGTCATGATACCACCTTCTGATCTTGTCTTCCCAGCATTTACATATCTACACATGTCACTCAGAACAACAGATGAAACTCAGGGTCTAGAAATGAGCAATCTGCCAAAGTTTCATGGTTTTGCTTTTCTCCTCTGTAACTTAATCTGTCATTTGGTGATGATATCATGTGCAGACATCCTTCAGGGTTTTATGGTGAAATTGATTCCCATAGCTGAAGGTAGACTCTGCCCTAAGTATCCCGGAATAGGGGGATGTTTCTAATGTGCTAACCTAGAACCAATCAAGTAAAACCAATACAGAAGTGATAAGTATGTGTGTGTAGCTGGGTAGACAGGAGGCCCAATGGTCCCTCTGCCCTAACCATGCACTTGACTCTACAAGCCTGGGGGCAGTGGTAGAGCCAACAAGCTCTGCTTCCTGACCTTGCTGTCTTTCTAATAAGGACTCATGGGACTTGGTCGTGACAGTGGTTACACAGATTTAATCTTTGAAATAGTCTTGTAAAGCAAACGGATATTGTAGGATCAGCAAGTGGATGCTTTTCCACACCGTTAGAACAGCTGACTAAGAAATAACTGACAATATCAATAATAAAGGTCTTTATATGTAATGAAAACTGGGATAAATATTTTGCCTACATTTTTCATCTAAAGTTTTAGATGCAATGGGAGGCATCTATTTTGTAAATGAATTTTTAAAGTATATAAATTTGGTTAAACAATACAGGAGAGCCTAGACTTCTTCAGAGAATTATTATTATTATTATTATCATCATCATCATCATCATCAAAGGAATGGTGGTCTTTAGGGAATCAGCTCAAGAATTCCTTCCTAGAAGTAGGAACTTTAAGTCCTTCTAGTTCTAAGATGAGTTCATTTCCTTACTATTTTGAGTTCCTGTTAAATTTATAGCTGAAGTGATAGTGGGAGATAGGAACAACTTCCCTCTCTAAGGTTAAGATGGAGTAAGCCTGTAGTGAGATTAAAAAAAAAAAAAACCTCTTTGAATTAAAAAAACACACACACATGGTGCTCTAATGAGATCAAATTTAAATAGACCACCTTAGAATAATTAACTAGATTTAGGGATCTTCTGGCCTTTTGCTCCTTTAACCTGCGTGGTTCAAAGAGTCTATGCATTTATAGTTAGTAAAAACTAATTGGGATTAGTGCATTGGGATTAAAACTCCAGTGTCTCAGAACCTGGTCTGGATAATCCTGGCATTAATAGCATTTAGCTGTAACCAAATGAACTAAGAGCTCAGGAATAGCCAAGTATACAACTCTGATAGTTATCAACCTCACAGTGACCTGAACCCAGAATAGCTGAACAGCAGTACTGCGTTCTGTGCTCTTTAAAGTGACAGGGGACAGCCACATTGTGTTTTTCGTGCCTGTGAAATTATGCCATTGAATTTAAAAATCTTTTAAATATCTTATAATTTTAATTCTCTTATGATTGTTTTGCATGTAGTTACTGCTTCTCATTTTGAAATATTTATTCCCATTCCCTCTTATCAACTTGACTGATTGCCATTCACAGGATCTAAGATGAGTCATAGTTAGTATTACATTTGAACCTGAATGTCCCCCCCCCCAGCCACTAGATTGTAGCTGGTCTGATGAGCTTCCTGAAAAGAGCAATGCAGCTTCAGGACCAGGAGGCCCACAGCATAAGGACTATGTATGTCTCTCCTTATTGCACTCAGTTTACTTTTAGACATGATTGTTTATTCCCAAAGAGGTGGCAGTACACTGATGGCTGAAATATAACTATAATTTTAAAGTATTTGTAACATTATAAACAACCAAAACAGATTTCTGGAAAAGAATGAGCTATCCCACTAAAACATATAACAAATGTGCTTGACAGGCATTTGGTAGGAGGAAAGGAACCCTTATTAAAATTTAACATCAACTTGGCAAGACTTTGGAAGCACAAAGTGCTGCTTGGTCAAAGCCTGAGCTGAGAGCGATGTGATTTCTACTGCTTTAGGTCAAACAGTGAAAAGGACAATGGCCAACTGAGTTCAGATTTAGGACCCAGTCTTGTCATGGCATAATAGAGTTTCCCTTTGAAATGCTTGATGTATAGGTACACAGACTTGACCTGAGTGGAAAGAAAGATTAGCATCTACAACTGTCTCAGAGACAGCAAGCAGATCTAGGTGGTTGTTGGTAGGGATGGAACAGAAATGACCTGACCTTAGCATTCCTCACATAGGGCCAGTCTGGCCAAACCCATGCTTTGTCTTCCACAGTAACCCTTGTGCTTCTGAAAGGTTCTGAATGGGCAACATGGTCACAACAATTTATAGAATATATAGTTTTCCATTCCACCTTGTAAACATTCTTCTTTCTTTTCCTTTATATTCTGACGGCTTCGAATTTTATTTTTATTTTATGTGTGTGAATGCTTTGCCTTCACGTATATAAGTGCACCCCTGTCGTGCAGTGCCCATGGAGGCCAGAAGAAGGTGTCAGACCTCCTGGATGGTTGTCAGCCACTATGTGGGTGCTAGGAACTGACTCTGGGCCCTTTGCAAGAGCAGCCAGTGCTTTCAACCACTGAGCCATCTCTCTAGTCCTTCCCCAGGCTTTTAAATTAACTCAGTTTATTCACTCACTTCTGAGAGAGTGCCAGCTTAGTGACTGAATTGAGACTGTGAGACACCAAACATAGGCTAGAATACCCTTGCAGGTATCTGCCACAATTGCACTCATGCCAAAAGATGCAGTGCACTTATACTACAGACTTTCTTTGGGACAGAGAAAGAGACACAGTAGCATATATCACTCAACCCAGATGTGTCATCCTGCTGTAGAATGACAGTAATGACAAGGGAGGACTTGATAAGAGGCATTTCTTACAGAAGTCATCATGAGTGGCTGTTTGTCATGAAACATCAAAGTTAACCAGAGCCTTGAACATGTCAAGGACAGATGCAAACACATACAAGCAAAGCTAATCCAGGAGTATTCCTAGCAAATTATTAGATCCCATGGTGGTGGGGCAAGGGGAATTGAGAGAGAGGGGGGATATGTAAACTGAAAACCTGTTGTGTTTTTTGTTTGTTTGTTTGTTTCCATTTGAAGAGTCTTATCCCACTGGCAAAAGAGATCCTGCCCCAGTGGGTCAGAGGCCTCTGATAATGAGGACAGTGTCTGAGCAGGGCCAGAGAGACTACAGCTATGGTCCCCATCCACACGGGAATCAGTTTTTTATTAAAATACAAATGTGAAAATACTTAAAGCCATTCTGTTTACAGCATATTTCCAAATGCAACATTCCTTTCACTAATCAAGTCTGAATCATGTGGCTTCAAAGCACCTGTCCTACTAAGTCTAAGACCATTCAAGAGCAGTGCAAACGAGGGAGAGAAGACATCTTTTAAGTGGCAGACAAGATTTGTCAGACAGTCTCTGGGGTTCTATTCTGGAAACTATTCAATTTGATTTGGGGCACTTTTTAAATAGCCATTTGGCACTTTCCATTCGGAGTTCTTAGGCACAGTGTGACAGAGTGAGCTTGGTGAGCCCTTCTCCATACATTCGGTACAGCAGCTGAAACTCAGCAGGCAGCTGGTGGGACTCCTGCCACTTGGTAGTAAACTTGGTTCCTTTTTTGTCATAGTAATGGTATGGAAGCTCTTCCCTTGTGTTGGGGTCAAATCCAAAAGGCCAGAATCCATACAAGTGGATCTCTTCACATATTGCAGATGCAAGGGTGTACATAAGGATACCTGTGCTCAGCCGTTTGGGCGACAAGTGTTTGTTTTTCCAGTACCTGCAGAACAATAAGTACATGTGGATTCAGTGGCCAGTGTGGAGGGTGTCTATCAAGTAAGTCAATAGGACTGGACTGAGAGCTGGATTTTTTTGGACTGTTTATGCTTTATGGGTAAATACACCTTCCAGTCCAGTCATACTGACTTGTCCCCTTCCAAAAACAATTTAAAACTTGACTTAAATTGAACAAGAATGGAGTGGAATGGAGCAAAACAATGAAGTCAAAGACTTGGGACAGGTTGGTAGTGTAAGACCTGGCTTCTACCCATGACTTTGTCCATTTTTCAGCATTAGCTTTGGGTAAACGACCCCTGCTCTCTGTGCTTCAGTTGTTAAACCTAGGGGCTGGAAGCCATAATCTCTTTAAAAGGTGACTAAACACCCTGGGAAATGGGCAGAGTTCCAGTTTATGTCTTTTACCCCTGTTGTGATTAGTCATAGCACCCTTTTCTCTCAAAACAAATGGTCCCAGTGTGGACTATAAATAATAGTCCTTCCTTTGGAGACACACTAATTTATCTGATTATAGGAGTCCTCCCTCAATAAAAAAGCAACTAAAGCATCTTAAATTTGGATGACTTTGAATGGTAACAAGATAGTAATATCTATTAAGTTATGAAAATCTGTAGGATTTTTTGGTTACCAGGTCTGCCAGAACTGACCCTCATTTGTAATAATAGCTAGGCTCTGGTAGGGCTCCAGGGTTTCTTACATAGGGGAAATGAGAGTTGAGCAATTTGCTCAGATGTTTTACAGGGGGAAAAAAATCCCACAATTAATCTTGCTTTAAAAAACTCCCTGAATTATTACTACTGGCTTTTGTTTCTGACTGCATATTAGAATTACCGAGGGAGCTGTTAAAAACACCAAAATTAGTCCTTCCCTCCCTCACTGCCTGAGACTCTCTCAAGTACAGTCCAGGCAGTAGTATTTTATTTTAAAACTCTGATTCTTACAAACAGCCAGAACTAAGTTACAAGGTTAGATGCAAATGTTGCATCTCCAACTAGTCTCCTTGTCAAAACATAAGGGATAATAGTGAGCTCCTAAAATACTCTCCCTAGGCTTTTGTACTCAAATATTGAAGGCAGATTATATAGTCTTTGATTTATTTAGGTGGTCTCCTAATCATGGACATCTACAAAACACTTAAAACAAAATGGATAATTTTAAGTCAAAAAAAGTTTTTTTTTATCTTTTGGAGACAGGGTCTCGCTATAGCCCCAGCTGACTAGCTATGTAGACCAGGTTGGCCTTGAACTCACAGAGATCCACCTGCCTCTGACTCTCAAGCACTGGAACTAAAGGCATGTACCACCACGTCCACTCAAAAAATTGTTTTTGCTAAAAAAAAATTAGTTAAAAAATTATCCACTTTGTGTAATTTAGCCACTGGTGTTATTGGGCTATACGTATTTGTGCAAGGAAAGTTCTTGATCTGTGGTAATTTCCAGAACTAGTCACTAAGAAGGGGACAAGAAAAGAAAGGGGTGAGCAATGAACACAGTCTCTTCAGTTAGCACTTGGTTACCAGGTAGGGATAGACTGAACTTTTTAATTAGAGTGATTCATTTGTTCATCACAAAAGATAAGAGCTTGTCCTCAAGAACTAAACTAACCACCACAACTAGTGAATTGGATGACTCCCACACCCAAGAGATTACAATATTGATTTGCCATCTGGTGGGATATGAGTTAAACGTAATAAAATATACACACCTGTTGACATGTTGCATTATATTTCCAGGCCAAGCCAACTGGACCTTTAACTGACCTCTGTGTTCAACAAAGAAGTCGACTAACGTTCTGGTAACAGTTGCGGAAGTGTGGAAGAAAAATGCAGGGATCCAAAGAATGGCCCCATCAAGCTTTTTTAAACTGAGGAAAAAGTTGTTACGGTCCTGAATGGTCAAAAGATTGTTGTAATATTTTTCTAGGATGCTGGGGTTGAAGGTGGTAAGGTTGGTTTTCCTTCCAACATCTCTTTGGAAAGCCTCCGTAGGGGCAAAATTGCAACGAAAAACAAAATCTGATTTATCTATTTCTTTTCCACACCGGCTCCCTGTTAGGATCCCACTATTTCCAACCACAGCACAAATATTATAATGCTTATTCATAATGGGTGACACATCTGGAAGCAGTGACTGGAAGTTATTGCTAATAGAGAAAACATATTTATGGCTGGAATAGTCATAGTGCATCAGTTGTCCAATCCGAACACTATTCTTGGTCAAAGAAAAATTTTTTATTACATCGACATGCTGAAGAATTTCTTGCCTAAAATAAAAAAAGATTCATTAAATGCATTCAATTCAAAAGAACTGAGTTTCATATGCTGCCACTTAATTCAGACAAGAATCCTAAACATATTGAATCCAAGAAAGATACATTCATAATTATGGTCTTTGAAGGAAGACTGCTTTATAATGCATAGACATGGTAATCTCTCAGTCAAGTTCTGAATGCAATCTTTTGATGCTTGTAAATTCAGTGAACAGTTTTAGCTGCCATTTCTTGGTATTCTGGTCTACTTGAAGAGTGTATTTGATTAGGGAGAAAGCAGATGCCAAACTGTGTCAGAAAACACAGGGAGGCAGTTTATACAGGCTTCAAAGAGCTTACATTAATGCACAAACATTGGCAACTTAGAGTTTGTAACTAGGGACTACTTGCTTGCTATTGGACTTCAGTGTTGAAAGAATATCAAACACTACTGGTGTCCAAATAACAGCCAAGTAGATGTCAGTACGTTGTATGTCACTATTATTATATGAAAATTGGAATAGTTGTGGGTGTGGCTGAATATTTAATACCAATAAGATGATAATCTCATTAAAGCCTGTTGAATAACGAAACAGGGATATTTGTTCTGCTTGACTATATAGAAACACAGCTTAACGGAACATAGATCCTTAGGAAAAGAGGCTACCGAAAACCTGAAAATGTATGTAGATTTCAACAGCATAAAGCAAAGATAAGAGAAAAGGGATACCGAGGACTGGTCAGATGGATTCCATATTGAGCTTTCAGTGAAACTGTCTCCTTTTAAAGTCTCAGCTACTTAAAATATTTAAGAGAGACCAGTAACATGCTACTTTGTTTTTAGGTAATCCAGGGTTAAAAAAAAAAAAAAATCACATCTAAACTCCTGTGCCCTTTGACAAACAACAGCATGGTGAAATGAAATGTTTTCAAATTACAGGGCAACACAAACCAATATAGTCAATTAGAAAATTTCAGTTATGAGTACCATTCTTTTTAAAAATAATATTTTCATTTTATGTGTATGAGTATATTGCCTGCATGTGTATAAGTGCACCCATGTCATGCATGTCATGGAGGTCAGAAGAAGGTGTCAGATCCCCTGGAACTGGAGTTATAGATGACTGTTAGCTGTCATGTACACGCTGGGAATTGAACCTGGGTTGTCTGCAAGAGCAGTCAGTGCTCTTAATTGCTGAGCCACCTCTCCAGCCCCTATTCTTAAAGCTGTTATAAAAGCAAGTTTAAAACGATAGTGGTAAAACTGAAAGATTACCTAATAAATGAATTGATAGGAGGGAAGATTTCAGAGGAAGTATTGTTGTGATTGTTAGGGTTACCTGGTCTAGTCTGAGAAAATATTTTCATTGAGCTAGAGATGTGTTTGGGGGAATGGTATAAGGTGTTTTACCATGGAAACTTTCTGTATTGTCTACAAAATTAAATTTAGATGAAAATCCCAAAGCTAAAACAAAACAAAACAACAACAACAAAAAGCATTTCTAGGGACTAGAATGAATGATCATGGACTAGTTTCAAATTTAACACAAATATTTAAACTGCAATTATAATCACATGCTTAATGTCAGTTTTTCCAGAGAAACAACATTTTCCTGACAGCATGGATACTCAGGGATTTCTTTTAATTCTGCCAGTAGACTACAATTCTTAAAAAAGTACAGAAATAAGAAATAGTACAGCCCAAACACAGCTCCCTAAACACACTGGTTTGTAAAGTATTCACACCCTTAATGAATACACTAGATGGCTCACATTGCACTTAGCAGCATAATAATCCCACCATGAGAGGAGTATCAACTGATCTGTGGTTCTGAGATCAGAATCACTAAGAATAAGTGATTTCAATAAATTTTATTCTTCTCCCTCCACCTAAAACAACAGAAGCCTTCTTCATGCATAAAAAACAGTCGCTGTAATTACGGATAGGGTTAGATAGGTTTATAAGTTAGAAGCTGTAAAGACTTAATGAAAACAAACAGGCAAAACCAAAGCACAATCATTTAAGTGCACATATATTTGGGCCCACATCTTCAGTGGTGATATGAGGGGGATGTAGTATGATATCCTTTGTGTTTCTGCAAGATTGTATAATTAATTTTTTTTTTTTAATTTTGCAGTGTGAAGAAAATGCATTGCAATTAATCGTTTTTTAAAACAGACAAGCTTTGGGAGTTGAAGTCAGACTTTACATCTTGGTATTCATTCAAGGCCAATTTAGGAAGGGTGTTGGGAATATATATTCATTGAAGTTGTTCATCTTGATGCTTCTCTTTTTGGAGAGGGCACAGCAGGCATTTGAGAGGGAGGGTTACTCATTACCTCCTCTCCCATTCAGGCCAGGAGGACCAAGATCTTAACGTTTGCAGCTGGGGTGAGATGGGCTTTTCGTGGTTTTGGGTTTGTTTTTATCTGTTTGTTTTATTTAGCTCCATAATTAAAAACAAACAAACAAAAGACCTCTCTTCCTATCATACCTTTGATGTAAAAACGCTGTCCGATTAAATGTCCATTTAGAAGGTTTCTCTTGGGTTTCACGGGTGAGAGAATTCGTAAGGGGCACAAATGACGGGTCTAGAAACTTCAGCGCAAACTGTGACCTGGAGAGGAGCATGAGTTCAGATTGTGGCGCTGGCCTCAAGAGGGGGTCCGAGGTAGCCATGACAGCCCCAGCAGCTCCCGAGAGGGGGCAGCTGGCACGCGCCGTCCCATTCACCCTACAGCCCCTCTCCTTTGGCCCATTCTCGGCTCCCGCACACTCCCGGGAGAAAGGAAGAAAATTGGGGAAACTCTTTCTCATGGTCCAGCCATCCGGGTGCGAGAGAGATCATAAGATGGCGGTCACGCAGACTGCGGGGCGGGGAGCGGGGAGCAGGGCTGCAGCCGGCTGCACCGAGGGGACCGGGAGTCGGCACCACGAACAGCGGCCTGCTGGACCCCGGCTGCCCAAGAAGCCAGATGAATTGATTTTTTTGGAGAAAGGGCAAAGGAAATAGGAGACTCTGGGGAAGGAGGGGGCGGGGTTGTGGCGCTCCTGTCTTAACCTTTTCCTTCCCGAGCCGGTGTCTGCTTCCACATACACACCTCGCCCCCGCCCAGAGCTAGAGACCCCCGGAGGCGCCAGCAGCTCGGTTGTTGTCCCCAGGCCCTGATTCTCCAGGTTCCGCATTCCTCTGACCACAGGCTGCAGTTTGTAGCTGCCACCCGCCCATCAGAACTCCTTGGGGGCACAGGTAGGGGTGGGGCTCCCGATGCGCCGGGTGGTGCCTCTGACCCGGCCAGGGTGGGCGGCCCTTAGCGTTAAGCTCGCTTCCTGCAGAAACCCAGGAAAGGAGGAGGCGGGGATGTGGGGTTTGTGTGTGGGAAAGGGTCGAGGAAGAACCCCCAGGTGCTTCTACAGGATAAACCCGCGCATCCTTTGATGAGAATAGGGGAGGAGGGAAGGAGGGTGCGGGCGCTGTCGGCGCCTGCGCCATTAAATTGCCGCGAACCTACCGGGCCGAGTCTGCAGCCTGGGCACCAGGAGGGCACTCACCTCGCGCCTGTCCCCCTCTCGGTTCACTGACAGCATCCCCACCCCCGCCCCGCTCAGACACTGCCTCTCCCTCCACAACCCCATTTTTGAAATGGGGGAGGGGATGCAGAGGACGAATACAAGAAATACAATCACATCGATTAGGACAAAGGCTTTTGGGGCTTTAGGTTAAGAGAGAGAGAGAGGGAGAGAGAGAGAGAGAGAGAGAGAGAGAGACAGAGACAGAGAGAGAGAGAGAGATCTCGCAGCTATCGCAGCTATCTGGCCCAAGGTGTTTGGAGAAGCCCAAACACCCCTTCTGCCGGCCCCGACACACCATCGACCCTCGACCCGAGGTACCCGGGGCCTCTCCAGTAGAGGCCCGCACTCACCGGAATCCCGCATGGAACATGTACATTCGGGGCGCCCCCGGGCTGGCGTACTTGGGAGTGGTGAAGATGTTCTCCTTTTTCAGGGACACGTAGCTGATAAGCGATAAAATCAGCAGCGCGACGCTGAGCATGACCAGCCCCAGCACACTGGCGACCCGGGCCATTTTGCAATGTCTCATCCCGGACTGGGCTGCGTTCAGAGAAAGCGGGGAAATCGGTCCATTAAGCGTTCAGCAGCTCACTGGCGTCTCTCTCTCTCTCTCTCTCTCTCTCTCTCTCTCTCTCTCGTGTGTGTGTTCGCGGCCGCGTGTGAGCGTTTGTGACAGGGGAGGGGACCCAGGCAGTTAAGTCGCGGAGGGCCGGGGGTGGAGGACGACCTGGAGCCAGGAGAGAAGCGGATGCCTCTCAGGGCAGGGGCAAGCCGGGCTGGAGCTGAGCAGGAAGATGGAGGGTCTGCGCCGCGGCTGAGCGATGGAGCACGCGGTGTGGTGCGTGTCCGGCCGCTGGCTCAGACTCCCCGGCGCGTTTCCAGTGAGGCTGCCATCTCCGCCGCCGTCTGCAAGATAAATGTGATTGGAATAATGTTACAGTTCGATCTAAGCACAGGATTTAATTAATGAACTCTAATCTCCCAAATAACCAGGAGGAGGGGTACGGGAGAGGGAGGGCAGAAGGGAGGTGGCAGAGGAAGGAGAAAGGAGGCTGCAGGGCTGCAGCTCACGCCAGCGACCTCCGGGGCTGGCTGAGGGTACCAGCGAGGAGGTGGCGGTGAGGAGGTGGTGATCGGGAGACAGACGCCCAAACTTAGTTTAATGGACCATTCATTACTTTATAAAATACATCACGAAAAATAGGGAGGTAAATAACCGGATTTGCTACCGCGGAGGATAAACACCAGCTGGGTGCTTCTCAGAGATGCAAGGGGAGTGGGTTTTAGGAAGATAAACGTTTAAACGCGTTCCTCCTCTCCATCAGGCACCGCCCTGAACCTAAGGCAGCCCCTGCTTTCAGAAAGAAAGCTACAAACAGCAACTGGGTCGACCTACCTTAGGCACACTTCAAAAAAAAATTCAGGAGAATGTTCTAGAATCTATGCTCTATGTCTACTACATATTTGCTTAACGGTAAAGAGTTTGCACTGCCTAGCAAAGTTATGAGGTGATCTGTGAGTGAGGATTATGGCCTTGTCCACCCTGGCTTTACCCATGGTTTGGTCTTCCCAGTACTGGTCAATAAGCACTAATGAAAAAAGGTTGAGGTGAGATATTAGTCTTTGAGAGTCTTTTCCATAAAGCAAGCTGGGATTTTTTTTCCCCCCCCAGGAGACTTATTTCTTTCTCTTCTGAACTCTTGCCTTTGTGATGTGGGCTCACCTAATGTTTTACCTTGTCTGGGGGCTGTAAACTCATTGAAAAGGGGAACTCTTGAGCTGGAAGCTCCTAAAGAGCAAGACTTACTTGGTCTCAGCCTGAGGTAATACTCATTGTTTGAAGGCCAGGTGAGTTCTCTCATGAAGCACATGTCTGACAGTGGTTAGTGGTTAGTGGTTAGAACAGGATGCTTCTGTTCTCAGTGGCAAAGGAGACCACCTAGTACTCACAAAAGACATGTCAAAATATAAAAATGTGGGTCAAGAAGGCATGGAGATTATTTTTTTGAACTTTTTGAAACAGGGTCTCCCTGTAGCCCGAGCTGGCCTGGACTTGCTATGGAGAGCAGGTTGTCCTTGATCTCATAGAGGAGTGCTGGGCCTCATAGAGATTTTTGTTATTTAAAAAGATTCAGGAACTAGGGAGACTGCCATATAAGCATGAGGATCTGAGTTAAGATGCCTGGGACACACTAAAAGCCAGGCACTGCCTGGCTAGGTGTATGGGGGGCAGGGGGAGAGTCAAGCAGATCCCTGGGGTTCACTGTCCGGTCAGTGAGTAAACTCTAGATTCAGTGAGGTCCTGTCTCAAAAAACAAGGTGGTGGGGGCTGGAGAGATGGCTTAGCAGTTAAGAACATTACTGTTCTTACAGAAGACCTGGGTTCGAATCCCAGCACCCCCATGGCAGCTAACAACTTTCCATAACTCCAGTCCCAGGGGATTCAGCAGCCTCTTCTGACTGGCATTGCATGACACGGGCGCACTTACCTACATGCAGGCAATACGTGCATACACATAAAATAAAAATAATAAATAAAATTAAAAAAATAAGGTGGCCAATGACTGAAGATTCTTGATGCCATGATGTCAACCTCTGACTTCTGTCCCAATGAGCACATGTGTGAACACACACATGCATGTTCACACCCAACCACATGAAAACACACACACACACAAACTTCAGGAAAGTCTTGTATGCCTGGTATATGTTACTTTTGAGTTGCCCTGATAAAAATGCCTGACAGAAAGGCAGGGAAGATTTATTGTGATTCACCTTTGATGAAGTTTCACTCCGTCATGGAGGGGAGATCACAGTAGAGTTCAAGGCCTTAGAGGAGCTTGGAGTTGCTGCAAATCAGGAACCAAAGGACACTGAAATCAGAGGCAGGCTGTGATCCTCAAAAGCCTACTCTCAGAAACCTACTTCTACCGGCCTATAGCCACCTCAAATAACACCATCAACTGAGGAAACAAGAGTTCAAAACAAGCTAGTGGGAACATTTCAGAATCACATCATGGCGTCTGAATAGGATAAATGTCATAATTCTGAATAATTACTACATAATGATTTCCATATATTGGAAAAACTCTTACTGAATGAGAGGTCAGGGAGTATGATGTGAGAGGCAGCAGAGGGAGGCAGGCATCTGTGTGCTCTGTGACTTTGGGGGAGTTACTAGTGTCTCTGTGCTTCAGGCTCTTCATTTGCAGAACCAAGAGATAAAAAGGTACCAGGAGTTAGGGTGAGTTTAAACACTCTAGCCTGAATTAAGTTGTTATTAAATATGAGTGAAACAGAAGGGGTAAGTTGTTAGTGTTTTTCTCTGACCCCATGAGTGTCCTGTTGCATAGGGAAAGGTGTGCTTGAGTGAGGTGCTTCCATGCAGAGAATGCCGAAGATGAAGAAACTCCAGTTTCCTCTGTGAAGCATCCTTGGGACATAGGATATTGATTCACTTTGCTTGGATTTCAAAGCAGTTCATCCTCTAATCCCAAAGATCAGGGATCATTGTGAAAGAGGGGGAGAAAAGATGGTAGGAGCCAGAACTGGTAGATGAATACAAATAAACTGGGTTATCTGGACACCGCAGGGTGTTTTCACATATGAACCCACAGCACAAGACCTATGCAAGCCGAAGCCAAACAAAAACCCAGCATGAATGGGGGAGGTGGGCAAGAAGCCCCAGCATTTGCTGAGGATATTTTGGCAATTACAGCTAAAATTCCTTCTGGGAGATGTAAACAATGTTTCCCGCCCCCCTTTGGTTCCTGCCACAAAGTGAGGCTTGTTTTCCTCAAACTGCAGTCTGGGAAACCAGTGAGTTTATGGAACTTTATAACTAAAATTCCTACTTTGTTGCTAAAATTTCTTCCAAGAGGTGAAACAGTGCTCTACGTCCCATATACACCTTGGTCCCTACAACAAATGGAGGCTTGTTTTTGCCAAACTAGTCTGGAAAACCAGTGAGTTTATTGGGTTTACTTACAGAACAATGAATGAGGGTTTACTTACAGAAGTGTATGTGCTCCCCCCCAGCTTCCCCAAGGCTGCACTGGAAAGTCTTTATCCAAGCATGGATGGTGACTTCCCCACAGCTGCACAAACTTTCCCCATAGCTTCCTCAGCTTAAATACCCTTAGCCCCTTCCCCTTATATCCCCTTAGCCCCTTCCCCTTGTGCAACTAGGGCTGACTTGGTTTGGAGGTGTGGCTAACTCTCCCTGCCCCTCCTTTCTTGTGGAGTGTAACAGTCAACAAGCTTAGCTGTGATAATCCTAGGTAAACTAATGCAACCAAGTGAACAAGTTGATAATTTTCTGTTATAGGCTACTGAATAAAGCATGAAGGAGTTGGCTTTCTAGAAGAGCTAGTTACCCTACCCAGAAACGATGGAGGCTGAGGGAGACTCTACTGGGAAACTGCTTTCTGGCCATATGTGACTGGAACTCTTTCTGTATGTTATTGACCGACATCTTGGTTTCTGACAAGTCTAGTAGTAACCACAGAGAAAGGATTTTGGGTTCTTTGGCTTTTCACAGTCTATTCCCCCATATAAAATAAACATACTATGAAAGTCATGGGTAGGAAAAATCACTGTGGTCAGACAGTGTCATAAAAGCTCTTAGATGAATAAAGCCTGGAAAGATGCATGAGGTTTTAGAGACGAGGATGGTAAGAAATAGCAGGGCAGGCAGGAGCAGCTGGGTAAAAGTGTCAATCCAGAAAAGCAAAGACTTGGTGGTAACCAAGGAACAGACGAGTCTCCTCAGAGTGAAAACAGCCAAGATATGCCAGCCATGTTTTGTAAATTATGTACAGATCCTTTGAGGAAAGCATAACTTTCTTCACTCATTGGATGAAGAGAGTGATATTGAAAGCAGTTAAGAGCTAGGTGTGGTGGCATATTCCTATCATCCCAGCACTTGTGGGGCTGAGGCAGGAGGATCTTGAGTTTGAGGTCAGTCTGAACTATACAGTAATACCTTGTCTCAACAAGGAAGAGAGGTTAAAGACTTCCTCAAGGTCCTGTGGTTGTGAAGCCCACCCTTTCTGCTAAATCACATCCCTTAAGTCCCGGGACAGATGGAAAGCTAAAAGTGTGAACAGGCTAAAAAGCCTGGAAGCACTGTTTTAGCCATGAGGACCAGTTACTTCTATTCCTACTCCTGTTGATGAAGATGATGGATCTGGTGATGTCATCTAGCATTTATTTACTTGCTGTATGTTGAGTATGATACTAGGCATTTACATTCCTCACCTCATTTAATCTTTGTTCCTTCCTTTGAGAATATACAGGGGGTCCCTGGCTTACCTTGGTTCAACCTAAAGATTTTCAACTTTACAAAGGTGTGAAAGTGACACGGATTCAGTGGAAACCATACTTTGAATTTTGATCTTTTTTGCAGGTTAGCCACATGTGGTATGATGATCTCTCTCACAATGGGCAGAGATCCATAGCTCCCAGTCAGACACACACTCACAAGAGTGAATACTGAGATTCAATCTTGTGTTGTGTTTCCAGTGTGTATTAGGTACAGATGTTTAATAGGTTATATGAGATAGTCAATTTTTCTTCTAAAATAAGCTTTACGTTGGTTGATTTCACTCAAATGGAAGCTAACGGAAGTGCGTGCTCTGAGTATCTATAAGGTAGGCCAGACTAAGCTGTGATGCTTACTTAGTAAGTCAGATGTAGGAAACATTTAAAATGTACTTCAATCTATGGCAATTTCAACTTACAGTAAGTTTATAGGGATGAAACCTTTCACAAGCTGTGGTATCTATAATAATTACCACCATTTTAAGGAGGAAGAATGGAAGCTCAGAGAGTAAAGAAACTTGTCAACCAGTGTGTGCCAGAAGGGGATTTGTTTCCAGTGTGTTACACTTGAATTCCAGAGTCCAGAGGAAGAGAGTAACCTTCTCCCCTAGTTATGGTGCCTCCAGGTTCTTGAGAAAGAGAGTGCGTCCTAGCAAGGGTGGAGAGATTGGGGGGGAAGTGAAGAAAAGATCAGAATGGTGCCTCCCTGGCCTGTTCTGGGTTAGGAGAAGGCTAAGTGGGACTGTAGCCTGGGGAGAGAGGGCTAACTATCTT